CTGTGACCCGAACTGCAGTCGACTACGTGGGAGTCCAGCGACATAGCCATTACACTAACTGCTGGTCCCAGCTATACTTTTCTACATTAAAAAAAAAATCACAAATACTACTAAGAATCAACATTAAAAGACACTATATATATGAATATAAATATATATATTTATATATTTTTTAATTTTGCTGGAGTACATGTGTACTTGCCAGAGAGAGACAGAGGGAGGGAGAAAAGGAAGCACCCCCACGGGGAGTGGTCACCCTGTGTTCGCTCTCCATCACTCCCTCCCTTTGAGGTTCTGGGCATGCATGCACATGCTCCTGGACATTAAAAGACACTATATATATGAATATAAATATATATATTTATATATTTTTTAATTTTGCTGGAGTACATGTGTACTTGCCAGAGAGAGACAGAGGGAGGGAGAAAAGGAAGCACCCCCACGGGGAGTGGTCACCCTGTGTTCGCTCTCCATCACTCCCTCCCTTTGAGGTTCTGGGCATGCATGCACATGCTCCTGGTGTGTTTCATAAGCCGCCAGGTCCGGGACTCAAATCACAGAGTCGGCCATGTGGGATCTGACTGCCTCGACCACCAGGCCACGGATCTGGCCCACGCACACTACCTTCCTAAGTGATGCGCCACTTAAAGACACAAAGCTCTAAGCACAGTTAGTCATAAACCCACAAACGTTTCTAAAACCCTCTTCAGCAGAGCAGGACTTGAAACACAGCAGGACAGAATGCCTGACCCCGGCGTGCGTAAACTGCTCTGGGCCTGGCGGGCGGCGTCCAAGGAAAGCCCACCTGCCCTTCTTACCTCACCTTCCCGCAGCAACTCCGACAGCACGAGGCCTCGGGAATGGACTTGGAGGAGAAGGAGGAGGTGGACAACACTGAGGGTGAGCCCTGGAACCCCGGGCCTCTGCCGCCCCGTCCCTGCCCCAGTGGCCCTGCTCCCCTCTCTGCCCTGCCTGCCACAGTGGCCGGGGGTGGCCATCCTTAGGGATCCCCAGACACCAGGGAGTCAGCTGAGGCCTTTGGCTAGAGTGGCTTTGACCAGTTCAGTGGTCCCGACAATGGACAGACAGACAGCCATGGACATCAGAGCTGGAAGGGACTCCACGCTCCTCCCCTGCGTTCCCCAGACCTTTCTCCATACGACGGTATTAATGGGCATTTCTGGAAGGGAGGGTTCTATGTCAAACCGGTTTACAAAAAGCTGGTTTAGGGACCAGCAGATGGCATAGTGGTCATGTCACTGGACTCACATGGCTGTCTGAGTTCAAGTCCTGGACCCAGTGGCTGGAAGATCACACCAGGTGCATGTGCATGCACGCCCATGACAGAGGTGAGGCTAGAGAGGCAGGCCAGCGGGCAGGGTGCTGAGCAGTGGCCTGCCCCCTAACTGCAGCCCCGTGCTCCTTCCCTGCCCGCTTCTGCCGACGGGCATGACCTGACTGGTGCCCCTGCATCCGTGTGTCACGAGCACTGAGTGCCCTGAGCCTGGAGAAGTTCAATTAGCAATTAGCTTGAGCCCAGGCCTTCCTGCTCGGGTCAATGCACCCCTCCACCCTAAGCTGACTGGAGTCTCCTTTTCTGCTCCGGCCAGGCCTGAAGGGGCCGATGAAGGGCAAGGAGAAGGCAAGGGCTGCAAGGGAGGAGAAGAAAAAGAGAAACCAGAGCCCTGGCGCCAGTCTGGGGTCCGAGGCCCCGGAGAAAAAGAAGCCCAAGATTGATGAGCTTAAGGTACGCGTCTG